GGAGAGGGAGGTGCTGCCATGGGACCCGCCATGCATCAGACTGGGTGAAGGGCTGTGGCCCACTCTGGGCTCAGATCTGCATTGGGGGCCTGTGCTAGAGCTGGGAGGGCTCACGGGGGGCCGTGAGGAGGCACAGCTCAAGGACTCACCCTCTGTGGAGGGTGTTTGGGGAGCCCCGCTCCCCCTGGGCAGGGATGGATGCCAGGACCTGGCACTGGGAGGGGTCAGTGGACTGCAGCCTCCGCCCACGGGTTGAGCCAGCACAGGACAGGGCGAGTTCCCCCAACGTGGGCTGCCCAGATTGGGTGGCGAGGACCAGGGCTTGAGTTGGGTGCAGAGGTGCTGCCTGGGGAGAACCCCTGCAGCCGTGATTCAACCGCCCCCACAGCCTTGGTGCTTGCAGGGCTGGAGGCGCCACAGATCTGACCCTCCGCGCTGGCAGGCAGCTCTGGGTGCCCCAAGGGTGCTCTCCCTGTGCAGGGAGCTGCTGCAGGCAGGGGTGCTTCTGCCCGCGCTGGCCTGGGGCTCTCAGCCCTCAGCAACAAGCAGCTCTGGCTCCCTGCTGCGGCCCCACCGGTGCAGGGCTGAGGCTGAGGCTGATTGGCAAGAAAGCCTGTTCTGCCTGTGCTGCGTGTGCATGGAGCTGCGCAGGGCTGTGTGTGGCGGGAGCTGGCTGGGAGTGAGGTCCCTGTGTACTCTGCTCTGCTTGCAGCCTTCTCTGCCCCCACCGCTCCCCCACCGGCCATGCTGCTCACAAGTAACCAGTCCAGGGTGCTGGAAAAGCACAACCGTAGGGTCTGGAGGTGTCCTGCTGTGCTAGGGAGCCAGTGTGGGGGGCAGGGGGCTCGGCGCGATGTGTAGCCGCTGGCCCTCCTTGCTGCTGCCCGTGGGGATGGCAGCACGTTCCCTTGCCTGTTGGGCTGCTGGGGTCCTGCCAGGCCACCTCACTGTTCCCACTGTTATTTTTATCTGATTTGATGGATTTTATTGCCTGGCACCTGCTGCACTGTGTGCTGCTGGGCTGTGCATCCACCCCTTGGTTCCTGGAGGGAGGCCAAGATGGAGCCGGGAGGGCTGCCCAGCACTGGCCCTCACCCTCCCCGGCAGCCCCTGCTTGCCGCCAAAGCGGTTTCCAGCTCTGCCTGTTGCTTCTTCACCTTGGAGCTGGACCTGCTGTGCTGAGGCGCAGCCCCCCTGTTCCTCGGGGCCCTGGCAGCCCCCGGCAGCGCGGGGCTGTGCCCCTGGGGGTGTGCAGCCGCCCTTGCTGGGTGGTCGGACCAGCACTGGATGCAGTTCCTGCAGCCGAGAAGAGGCTCTGCCTTCGTCCCTGGACGTCTCCCTTCCTGCAGTGGCTGCCCAGACCCACATGGTGCAAAGCTGCGATGGTGGCACCATGGCCATTCCTCCGGGGCAGGGGCAGCCCTGCTGGAGGCCTAGCCTTCCCGCTCTCCTTGTAGCTTCAGCAAGGAATCACCCCAATCCGAGGCCAGGCTCAGCCCCTTGCTGCCAGCTGTGCTGGCCAGCTGCATGGTCTGTGTGGAGGTGGCAAGCTCCCCTGTTCCCTGCGCTGGGCAGCCGCAGGGCCAGGCATATCCGGGCCTCCATCTCTGCCTTCACTTGCTGCTCCCAAAGCTGCTAGTGCTG